GTTATTGGATACTCTCCAAAATGGCGGAAAACGTAACTCGGTGGAGAAGAAATGTTGAATAAATTATGTTATTTTGTTTTCTTTGCACACAAAAAGTATTCTCGTGGCTTCGCAAAATTTAAGTTGAGCCACTGATGTCACATGGACTGTTTTACCGATGTTTGACCTAGGAACATTACAGTTGCGTTGCTGTCTATGGAGGGTCAGAGAGCTCTCCGATTTAATCAAAAATATCTTAATTTGTGTTCCGAAGATGAACGAAGATCTTACGGGTTTGGAATGACATGAGGGTGAGTAATTAATGACATAATTTTCATTTTTGGGTGAACTATCCCTTTAATGCTATGACATTCACTTTTGTGTCTTTTGGCTAGAAGCATTAAGAGAGTGATAGCAAGTAAAAGTACTCACTCTGTAAGTCCCATAATTAATATCTAGAACAATCAAGTTAGAGTAATTAAATCCTGCTTACTGAAAAAAGGTTCCATCTTCAATAAGAATCTGCCTTATTTTATTGAGTTCACTCACTGTGACCATATTTGTTTTCACTTTGCACACTTTCTTCACACAACTGCAATTTCCGGTGAGTAGGGGCATGTTTCGCTGTTAGGAAGTTATTGTGTGACTCGGAGCGTCGAGGAGAACACTAAGGCAGTGTTGGGTCAGTCAGGCGCTTGGCAGATGAGGGAAGCCTCCATATGTTGGCATGTCTGCAACAATGGAAGAGAGTAACAGTGGTCCAAACAGGGCATATCGTTTCAGGTCGGCCCATCAAACGCCATTCTGTGTCAGTGTCCACACACCAGCCCCAAACAAAGGGACACCCTCTCCTGTCTTCCCTGATGTTCTTCTCTTGAGTCACATGATGAGAGCAGAATATCGTGAGGGGATGTCACCGTGACCAGATGGCAAATCTATATACTGTTGACACCTCTGATGAACCCAAGCGACCAATCAGATGCCAAAGCTCAACTGACAACATCAAGAGAACCCCAATCACATTCAAGGTCTCCAGGACAAAGGATACTAGGCGTACATTTCCTCTTTAACAATAACACTATTGGTTGAGTAGAGAGTATAATATTCCTATACTTGTCTGTTCTTGACTAGAATCTAGTACTTATTCATAAACTGTAAATTAGCGTCAAATTACATTGTTAAAACATAGCACACTCACATTTTTAATTTTGTGCATGAATTTATTGTAGTAATCAAGAATTGACTTGCTCAAAATAATTATTCCACCCACCAAGCATTTTAATTCAAAATGATAAACACAATATAGAAAATATTTAATTCAGCACAGACAAAACATAGGGGGAAAGGTTTTTTGTCCTGTACATTCTTTATAGTTCTACACAGAACTAGGTGCATTAGAATATGCCTACCTCCATACTATACAACAGGCGAAAACAGCATGTAAAAAAATGTCTGAATTCAAAGCATTCAAAAAATAGTACGTGAAAAGTTCCCCAATGACCAACTACTACCACTGAGATTCTGAAGTGCACATTCATGGACACTTTACATGAAGCCACAGAAGAGGAGTTGTGAATGGCAGTGCAGTGACACTGGTAGGTCACATGACAATAACAACATACCAAATGTAGTATGTGAATACAGTATCTACGATTTTGGACATAGCTAGAATTTTACAACTTCTACTATTACTTTAGGAGGGTGCTAGTCACATATGATAGTGAAGGCACCATGTACATGCACATTTCTGAATGGTTAAACAAATTGTATTACAACTCATTGCATGTTACAACACTCCCCTGTCGTCCCTACTTAATAATTCACAAGAACCCATTTAAAACCTCAGTGACGCACAATCATGAATTGCTTATTATGAATGTTTAAATTGCGAAACAAAACATAAAGTGGGGCTTCATACAATAGACATCTTACATTGTGCAGTAATGGAGGTCCTGCCTGTGTTTTCAGGCCACTCCAAGCACACAATTGACCCTATATAGTGAGAGCTGTCACATCAACACTCACAATCTGCTTGGGATGTGAAGTGCTTTCAACAGAACCAGTGATAACAGACCAGTTGCCCTGTATCTGTGTTTAATAACATCCTCTCTTTCTTTTTGGCTCTATTGTGTTATTCTATTCAGCAATTATAGGAGCAGCACACATGCATTCACTTCCAACTTTTGAATCTAAAGTTGCAAGTGAACGACAGGCCCAAAATTTGTCAATCAATAAATAATCTACTATCTTAAACTAAAAAACAATAATAATAAAATAAAATAAGATAAAATAAAATAAAATAAAAATATTTTAAAGTAGTGGTTCCCAAACCTGTCCTGGAGGCCCCCCTGCCCTGCACCTTTTGTATGTCTCCCTTATCTAACACACCTGATTCCACTCATCAGCTCGTTAGTAGAGAGTGCAAGAACTAAATTGGGTGTGTCTGATTAGGTAGACATACAAAATGTGCAGGGCAGGGGGTCCTCCGGGACAGGTTTGGGAACCACTGCTTTAAAGGAATAGTTCACCCAAAAATGAAAATTAGCTGAAAATGTACTCATTCTCAGGCCACCCAAGATGTATATAAGTTTGTTTCTCTATAATTGGAGACATTTTGCATTACATCCTCTGCAGTGAATGGGTGCTGTCCTCTCACATCAGAGTCCACTGACATATTTGTTTACTTGTTCTTGTAAATGATGCTTGATCAGTGCATATTTCTCCACTGATTCAGACAAGATGACTTTTTCACTGGAGGAAGTGTCATTATGGATTATGGGTTCGCAGGAAGCAACAGTTTAAAGTTAAAAACGTCTTAATGATGAATTTGTTTATTACAAACACGCGGCTTTTCATTTCACAAGCTGTTAATTGATGGACTCCACCCATTCACTGCAGAAGATCGATTGGTGAGCAAGTGATGTTACTAAATTTCTCCAAATCTGTTCAGATGAAGAAACAAACAGGTCTTACAGTGAGCTATTTAGCTCATTTTAATTTCTGGGTGAATTATTCCTTTAAGAAGAACAAAGTCGCCTTGAGTCGTGTAGCCTAATCATGCTTCGGATTCAAATTATCTTACAGCACACTATTATTCAATTTTCACACATATTAAGTAAATAAATGATGTTTGCTTTTCATTTTCATTTAGTTAAAAACCAGCTGCACTCATCACAAACAATCAAACATCAGACTACTCTACTAAAGCTAACATGGTTCAGATCTGACCACCTGTTCCAGTGCATGACCTCTGATGTGTGACTTCACATCACACCAGAATTGAATTCTATATCAAATGTGAAACAGCCATCTCAAATTGCCTTAGGATAAGAATAAATCAACTTTGTTGAAACATTTCTTATTGAACCACCTTTTAACCAGCTCTAAAATTGACTAGTTTGTCAAGTGATGTTCCAGATACATTTCTGTATATTTTGAAAGGGCATACAATAAGAAAAACATTAACAATGTAGGTCAATGTGCACATAAGAATCCTATTTCATGTATTCACCTGTTATCTTGAATTGTCACTTTAGATAACTGGGACACGCTAAGAGCAGGCCTAAGACATCTAAGACGAGATGTATTCAAAATGACAGGATTAGAGAGAAATCAATTCATTTGAAGTCAAGATGTGATTATTATGCTCTGTCTAACGCCCCCTGTGGTTGCACAGAAAGGAAGAGAAGGAGAGAGAGACAGGGAAATCGTGTTTTCACTCTTCCTCAGCTAATCACTGGTTAGAGCACTTCACCTTCTTCGCCTTAATCTACCACCTCAACCACCTGACGTGCTCTAGAACACACAATACCGAATATCTCAGCTTCACCTAGGTCACTTCTGCTGGGTCGCATCTGCTACCCAGACGCTCTGGGATGATACTACCCAAAGGCACAGGTGCACACAGGAACACAAGTAACTCCTGTCCATTCATACACTGAAACTGTACTGTAGTGAGTCTTAACATGAAGTCTGGAGGGGGGAAAAACTTGATGCCAGAGAGAGGTGAGGTATAAACTTACTAGTTATAAGCTTACAGTAGACAGCTAGATCTTAGGTAATCTGTCAAAAAAAAAAATCTGAAAATTGTGATTTAATGACTCTAAAAAATTGTGTAAAAAAAAAAAGTGGTCTAACCATCAAAGAACGATTGGTAACACTTTATTTTAAGGTGTACTTGTTACACACATTACATGCACTTTACTATTACATAATAAATTATGCATAATTACATGCAAGTAACCCTAAACTAAACCCTAATCCTAACCCTAACCATACAGTAAGTACATGCAGTTAATTATTATTACTCAATACTTAATTGTGTAGTTAATTATTATTGCTAAGTACTTAAATGTATATTACACTGTAACAAGGACACCTTGAAATAGTGCAACCGAAAATCTATTAAAATACTAATCTACTAATACAATAGTATATATTTTCCAGAAGATCAGTTTGCTAGGCTATTTGTTTTCTTTTTTCTTCTATTTTAAAATAGTGTTTATATATATTTATATATTTATATACAGCATTTTTGGGTATCATGGGCGCATGCGGACTTTTGGGGAATCGCAGATGCTTCTCTTCACGCACTCACTAAGTTCAGCTGATTATGATATAGCTGTTAAATCTGCACACGCACCTAGGATGCCAAAAATGCTGTCTAGGTTGACAAAGCACCAAGATTTGAGACATTAACGGGCAGTAAAGTTTCTGCTGTTACTAAGCGACAGAAAGTATTTACACACTGATATTCAAATCAACCACACAATGAATTAAAGCACGTATAACAGTTTAGTATATTTAGAAATAAATGTTTAAGATGGTCATGAGTCACAGGGGCAGTAGCCTAGTTTTACATGTGTCCTTTGAGGAATAATAATGTCATTGTTATAAGACTACATCTAAAATGTGGGTCACAACGGTCTAAAAATATGGAAAACTAAGACATATATCGTATCTATGACAGATGAAACGAATTATATGAACAATATCACAACAATAAAAACGTTCAGTCTTACCGGACGGATTTTCTGTTAATGGTGAATTTCTGAGAAACGTCCTTCAGATGAAGCTCTCCCCGTGGTTTACCTCGGATTAAACATGTAACACCACAAAACTTGAGGATGGGGATGTGAGGACCGTCCTCTATGAATTACTGCCGTTATTCTCATTGACTTGGAGCCCGTGAGTCGGTTTTGACGGGTTTTTAAAGTGGGCTGTAACGGCTCTTCAGTTTCCCCGCCTCCGATTGTCTAGACCGAGCAGCGACCAATCCACTCACTCCGGGAATCTTCGTCACGCGCTGGACTCAACGCTCCCGTGTCTTGCGCTTATTACAACGGGCGCGTTCAGCTTGTGTCGCGTCGCGTCGCGCCGCTAGCATTTAATTGGTCGAGGATGTATATGGGGCCGACGTCAGAATTCAGTCATACTCAACCCGCGAGCGCTCGCTTGCTGTGCTGCTGATGGAGTGATGACGGACGCGAGAAAAGAGACACTGAAAACTGACACCAAATCTAACTGTGCATTAAATATTAACACGGTTATAACAACATCTATCTATCTATCTATCTATCTATCTATCTATCTATCTATGCCTATCTATCTATCTAGGCCTATCTGTCTGTCTGTCTGTCTGTCTGTCTGTCTATCTATCTGT